CCTTCTTTTTTCTTCTTCCTCCTTCTCTTCTTCCCCTCCTTCTCCTCAAACTCCTTTTTTTCCTCCTCCTACCTCTTCTTCCTTCTCTTCCTCCTCCTTCTCCTGCTCTTCTTCCTATTCTTTCTAGTCTTCCTAAGCCTTCTTCTTTCATCCCCCACACTTCCTTTTCCTCCTCCCTCTCCTCCTTTTCCTCCTCCTCTTCATTTTTCTCTTTCCTCTTCTCCTTCTCCTCCCCCTCCTCCTCCTTCTCCTCCTGCTCTTCTTCTTTCTCTTCCTCTTCCTTATCCTACTCCACCTCCTCTTCCTTGCCCTCCTACTAATCCTTCCCTCCTCCAACTCCTCTGTCTCCTCCTGCTTCTCATCCTTCTCTTCATCCTTGTTCTCCTCTTCCCCTCCTCTCCTCCTCTTCTCCTTCTGCTCCTCCTACTCCTGTCCTTCTTCCCCTATACCTCTGTCTTCCTGTTTCTCCTCCTCCTCCTCTTCCTCCTTCTCCTTCTCTTCCTCCTTCTCTTTCTGCTCCTCCTTCCCCCTCCTCCTCTTGCTCATTATCCTACTTTTCCACCTGTTTTCCACCTCCTTCTCCTTTCCTCCTTAACTCCTTCCCCTCCTTCTCCTCCTCTTCCTCCTTCTTCTCTTTCTTCTCCTCCTCCTCTTTCTCCTCCTCCTTCTCTTCTTCCCCTCCTTCTCCTCTTTCTTCTTCTCTTTCTCCTTTTTCTTCTCCTCCTCCTTCTCTTTGTCCTCCTTCCCCTCCTTCTCCTCCTCTCCCTCCTTCTTCTTTTTCTTCTCCTCGTTCTTCTCTTCCTCCTTTTCCTTATCCTCCTTCTCACCAGGAGGGTGATGGCAAGGGCATGGGACAGGCTATGGCAAATGTACAAATATTCAGAGCCTCATGGTGGCCGGCTGAGGGGAGTTCGGACACCATGTCTGTGCCAACATCAGGTGGGGGCGGGACTCGTGATGCTCACTCTCAGGATGAATCACTTGAAAACCAGCTGCGGGGGATATCGGGAGTAACAGGATGGAGCCCTGTGCCACCAGAGAAGTTTCTTCTGTTGTGCTGAGCTGGTATTGGTTACACTCATTCCTATACCCGGGTATTTTTCTTAATGCACAATCATGGGAAGATAGTTTCCCTGTTCACAGTGGGGGGATGGGTGGGCATGGGCTGTAACAGGCAGGAAGGGTGCACAGGGCACAGGAGTGTGAAAGCACACGGCACCTGCACAGTGGACCCTGAGAGCCCATCACAGAAGCTGACACAGGTCAGTGTGGGTGTGTCCGGAATCCCTGTGGGGCCGCCTGGTCAGGTAAGGTGACAGGGGGCAGAGCCAGGGAGCAAGCACAAGGGCGTCACGCAAAGGACTTCACACGTGCAGAGCTTCACACTCACAGAGACACAAGAGAGAAATCCACAGCAGACCAGGACTCACACCTCTCCACGTGGCATTTCCACAGAAGGGAGAGAGGAGGAGACCATTGCACACTGCCACAGGTTCTCAACAAAGTGCAACTAGTGTATGAAGGCTGGCACCTTGGAGAAGCCGAGCTCGGATCCCCAGAACTCACAGGAAAGAGATGCCGCAGGAGTGTGCTCCCTCAGGGAGGACCACCACAGGGAGCTCCTGCCTCAAGGCAGAGGTGAATACAGGCACACACTTACACATATGCTGTGTAAGTGGTCCGGGCTCTCACATGTGCAAGGAGGGGCTCGTACCGTGCACGCCTCCCCACACACAGTAGGAGCTGGAGACGTGGTTCAGTAGTTCACAGCCTCCGCTGCTTTCCCCGGGGACCTGAGCTCTGCGCAGCCTCACTCTGTGCGGAATCTATCGAGTGTGACTCACAGGCAGGTGGCACAGCGTGAGTGCCAGGGAACAGAGGGGGCAGGGAGTGCGGCAGGGGGTGCACGCCTGAGGCGGGGGGTCAGCGCGCTTTGTACAAGGACGGAGGCCGCCACCACATTACACAGAACGGCCTTGGAAATATTAGTGTAAATACTCTCACGAGGCGTGACACAGATACCCTGACTCAGCCCTCACACTGCGTGTGTGTGACCACATTACCACTAACCCTGAAATACACGTGGTAGTTGAAACACCGGCAGCTTCCCACTCACACTCAGCCAGTGAGGAGAGAGTGTGGGTGTCAGGCAGCGTGTGAAGCACTCTGCACGCACCGTCTGGTGAGTCACCCTCCATCCCCACTTGATTCGCACAAAAGGAAACTGAGGCAGCCAGAGGCCCAGAGCACACTCAGCAGAGGTGGGGTCACCGTGCCCAAGCACCCACACCCAGCCAGAGCCCAGCGCCATGCACGAGGGTCCTGTGTCCAAGACACACACATGGGGGCAAACACGGCCCTTGACGGGGCGTGTGCATTGCCTCTTTCAGGGCAAGCAGAGGACGGCACACTTACATGGATCGGTGAGGCAGGGTCGGGCTGGACACTCTAGAACACAAAAAGAGGGCCTGGGTCACCTCACGATTGCAAGGCTCTGCTGGCGACAGTCCACACACATGCACACACATGCCCGCTCACACACCCTCACACACACACACACTCACACGCACAGAAGCTGGCTCTTGCCTTGAGCAGGGAGTACTGGCAGCTCGCCATCACCACGCAGAAGAGCACGACCCACAGGTCTTTGCAGAAGCCACGACTGAGCGTGAGGAAGCCCAGGAGTGAGACCAGGACGCCGAGCACAACCGCCGCCATGTTCTCTGCCACGTCCTCAGTCCTGTGCAGACACAAGCAGCTGCAGTGAGAACCACGAGGTCAGAAGAGCGTGTCGATGGGAGCAGGTCCTCACGCTCTGTTCACTGAACTGTTCCCGGCCCCACGGACCCCACACACCCAGGTCCCACTCGTGAGGGAGGACAGGCACCAGGGGCGTGTCCTGCATGGGGCTGGCACCCAGCACACACTTCTTGAGTGAGACACAGATAGATAGATAGACACACACACACGAGTGCCTGGCAGCTTACCGATCCAGCAGGGCCAGCAAGGTGAGCCGGTCATACCACACTTTGATCCACCTCCCGGGGAAGATGAGGAACTTGTGAAACTGCTCCCGGCTAAACTTCCCGGAGGAGTGTGACGAGTCTTCCGCGTCCTGACGCACGTGCTTTCCAGGTCAGACACAGACAGAGCAGAGAGAGCATCACCGGGCAGGCCTTGTCACGGAAGCACGCCCACGGTCACTCTCCCGGGGCCTGAGGGGTGGGTGGGGCTAAAAGGGCAGTGGGCCTGGGCTCAGGTCTCAGCACGCAATGGAGGCTCACAACCATGTGTAATACATACATACAACACGCACATGCACACACACACACACACACACACACACACACACACACACGGGAGGCCAAGGGCCTCTACAGCAGCCGTGACCAGCGACGCTGGCACTCACATACCCGAGGGGTCTCCGAGTGTGTCCTCCGAGCCATCATGAGCAACAGCTGCTGCTGGAGGGCGCCGAGCGCGGGGTCCCCCGAGGACGGGTCGGGGCTCCCGGAAGTGTTGGTGCTGGACGAGCTGAGCAGAGCGTCTCTGCGAACGGGATCGGAGCGCACTGTTGGTGAGCAGCCTGTGCTCGGTGCCTGTGTTTATTGCACCCAGGAGGCCAGCGGTGTGCAGCCCAGGAAGGGACTACGGTCTGAGTGAGCAAGGAGGCCGACTGCAGGCCCAGGCCCGGACTCGTGGCTGAGTGGATGCTCGCTCAGCTCTGATTTGTATGTGGGTGTGAGTATGTGACCAATGCGGGTGAAGGCCTGGGACCCTGAGAACCCGTGTGACACTCACATCAACTGTGAACCGGCAGTTCATCGCCTGAGAGACCAGCGGCTGCGTACGGCGGTGAGGACGTCTAGGGAGGGTCAACTGGGGTGGAAGGCCCACCCTGAGTGTGTGTGTGAGCACGCGTGTGCGCGATACTTAACGTCTTGGACAGAATAAAGGCAGAGGTGTGGGGAACACCGACCTCATCTCCCTCTGCTTCCTGGCTGTGAACCCATGTGACTCCCTCAGCCATGGCGTCCTCGCCATGATGGAGTGCGTGTGCGCCCAGTCTGTGTGCTAGGGCTCACAGCGGTGGAGTGTGCCCTCAAGACGGCTCAGAGGTTAGAGCACCGGCGGCTCTCCCAGCCTGGGTCCAGTTCCCAGCACACACTCACACAGACAGCAGATCTGGCGCCCTCTGCTGGTGTGCAAGCACACGCACAGGCAGAGCACTAATAAACGAAATCCGTCTTTAAAACAGTCACACGGGGCCTCTCTGGAGCAGTCCAGACTTTTTAACTGTTGAACTCATTTTTACGTGTGTGTGTGTTCGAGAATAGGTGCCGGCCTGTGTTCACAATCACCACGTGAGCGCAGGGCCACTGAGCAGGAAGAGGAAGTCAGGCGTGACAGAGGCGATAGCTCAGGCTAGCCTCCTCACTGCCCTGCATCCAAGGCGGCCTCCACACCTCCGGGACCACAGTGTGCACCACCGCGCTGTTCAATGCTCGCTGGAGGTGAACGGAGCCTCGGCTCCATCTGGCCAACTGAGTCACCCCTGGTTCCTAAACCGCTGTTGACAGTCTCCGTGTGGGAAGCCCATGACAGGCCAGTTCCATGGCCATCGTCTGTGATTCTCCAGGCACACACGCACTTCTAACACGCTGCGTGTGACAGGTTTGCCTCCAGGTTTACTCGGATCCCTGAGCCGGGACTGGTGGCTGCTCCACAGCTGCCGAGCTGGGCAGCCGGCCTGGGCACTGCCATGAGGGCGCTGTCTAGTGTGCAAGCTGAATCGGCACGGAGGAGCTCACCCCCGCAGGAGCCGGGAACATGCAACACCCCACAACCTCCCCACGTCCCGTTCCTCCCCCACCACAGCCACGGAAACCGTCCTGCTGAGTCTCCATGTTGCAGATACGCTCTGCCCTAAGCGCCACGGAGAAACGCCACCGCTCCACCCCAGGCCGTGTGCCCCGTTCGGGGGAGCGTGCAGGCCCCAGCACTGTCCACACACCCAGACCCGGGCCGAGCACACTCACCTGGCCCGAGACACACAGTCCGGGTTCGAGGGAGCGTGCTGCCCGGAGGAGCCGTCCTTCTGGTTTCCAGACTTTAAGTAACAGGATCTGATTTCTCCTGTGAAATCACGGGATTTGAGCAAAGAGCATCACACACACACACACACACACACACACACACACACACACACACACACTATCTGTGAGGCACACGTGTCTTCAGGCTCAAGGCAGCCTGCAGAGTGGCCAGGCTGGTCTTGTTCTCTTTGCCACTTGAAGCAGAAGTTCGTTTAGCAAAGGAGAACGACATTTAAAATCACTTATAGAAGAGTTTTACAGGGCCACCTGGTCGCCCCCACAGTGCTCACCACGTCACCGCCTTTGACCTACTTCTCACCGCTTCTCCGTTAGTCACTCAGCTCACACTTGCTTCCTTGGTTTCCCTTTCCCTCTCCTGTGGTCCCGGCCTGTGGCGGTCACCCCCCGCCCCATGGCCGTCATCCCCCCGCCCCATGGCATCCTCCACGGCTCACCGTTCTCGCCGATGAAGACGTGCATGGCGTCCAGGGACACCTCCTCCTGCACGGATGTGTCAGGGCCGCTGATGACCTGCAGCACTGAGCTGTCCTGCTGGGAAGTCACCCTGTAGATGATCTGCCTCTGCCGGCTGCCCTGCAAACTGAAAGTGCTCGTGTCAGGGATGGTGCGCGCGGGGCGGCTGGAAGTCAGCTTGATGCAAGCGAGGAGTCGCCAGCAAGGAGGGATGCTGGGGGGGCACCACCATGGGGTGAGGCTGCGGCAAACCTTCGGGGAAGCTTCTTAACCAGGGACTGGTGGGGAGGCTGGCCAAGCCTGGGCTGCTGCGCTCCAAGTTCAGTCAGAGGCTACTCAGAAAATGTTCGCCATCTGGTCTACACACACACACACACACACACACACACACACACACACACACACACCAGGAATTCTTCACCCTCCCCAAAGTATTTCAAGGAGCGACAGAGTCCTTACAGCGCTGTGCCCTTGGGTGGCTGCACGAGCACCGGGCTGGCATTTGCGTGGTCTTGTCCCAGCAAGCTTGGCTTTCCTGGCCGGGCATCACATCCACTGGGCCTCTCCGTCTCCGCAGCTTCGTCCTTGGTTCCTGGAGAAGTGTGATCTGGAAGACACAGCTTTCCGTGTTAATAACAGGAACTGGGGCAGCCATCCCAGCGCTCAGGGCACACGCAGCCCCGGAACAGGAAAAGTGAGAACACTCCAGCCAACTGTCCCAGCACTGAGGCTGAGGCAGGAGGATAGCTGTGAGTCCCAGCCCAGCGGGAGCTACACAGAGAGACTCTGCCTCGAAATCCAGCAACAACAGAACTCCACACAGTCCGGGTGTGGTAATGCACCCCTCTAATCCTGACATGGAGTCTAAGGCAGGGGACTCCCGGGAGTTTGAGGCTAGCCTGGTCTATACATGAGATTCTGCGCTGCGTGCCAGAGAGATTCGGGAAGGAAGAGGGGATGGCTGGTTTTGAGACATGAGTTCCTGTTCCGAAGTGTGAAAGTCTAAAGCTGCATTCGAAACAGAGACACACACATACATGTGACACACACTGCTCCGCCTCCCACGGACTCCACACAATCTGCCAAGGGATCCAGGGACTCTCTTCACTGGACTCAGAGGCCCTGTGATGTCCTGCACCTGAGCTGTCACAGGGTCCTAATACGAGCGCCCGGCCTCACACCAAGAGACTGACACTGACAATCTGTTCCCGACCCCACTGAGAGTTCTAAGCTCTCACCAGTCTCTCTGTTCACTCCTTTCTCTGCTGGCTGAGGGTGGACAGGGTGAGGTGGACAGGGTGGGGGTGAACAGGGTGAAGGTGGACAGGGTGAAGTGGACAGGGTGGGGATGAACAGGGTGAGGGTGGACAGGGTGGGGGTGGACAGTGGGGGGTAAACAGGCTGAGGGGGAACAGGGTGGGGTGGACAGTGGGGGGTGGACAGGCTGAGGGGGAACAGGGTGGGGGTGGACAGGGTGAGAGTGGACAGGGTGGGGTGGACAGTGGGGGGTGGACAGGCTGAGGGGGAACAGGGTGGGGGTGGACAGGGTGGGGTAGACAGGGTGCGGGTGAACAGGGTGCGGATGGACAGGCTGAGGGGGAACAGGCTGAGAGGGAACAGGCCCTGTGAGGATGGACAGCTGTCAGTCACAGCCTGGGATGTTGGCCTCGTGCAAAGGAAGGCTCAACACATTCTCTCCATCTGCTGCAACTACCTTAAGGTCAACAACAACAACAGGTGTCCAGAAGTGAGCAGGAGCAGCGGGGCAATAGGCACACTCACAGTCGCCATTAGACAGCAGTGTAGACAAAGGGCCCTGGGTCCCTCCGCTGTGTGGACCCCGCTGGCGTGTGGGCACACACTCACACACACACAGGGCTTGGACGGTGGTCATGAGTCAAGAGTGTCACTGCACCCCGACAGCAGTCCTCTCGATTTTCCCGGTCATTGGAGGAGATCCCTGACCTCTGCCCTGACACCAGGTATCCCCTGACGTCTGTGTCCAGTGTGTCTGGCCAGAAATGTTGAGATTTGATTCGACGGTCTGTCTGGCTGAAGCCTGACACAGAGGGGCAGGAGAGGTAGTGCCTGCCCACACCACCTGCTCAGGGCACACCTGCTCCTCTTCTTCAATGGGGACACTCCCTGGGTCAGAGTGTCTCCCCTCCCCCACAGCCTGGGTTTGCTTTACAACCAGAACATGCTGGCGTTTTATTTTCCTAGACACGGAGTATTTCCTGTAAAATGACGAACACTAAGGATGCCCTGTCCTCACAAGAGCTTCCGTTGCTGTGAAGAGATGCCGTGGCCGCAGGAACTCTGATAGAGGAAAATGTTTTATCAGGCTGCCTCACAGTCAGAGGTTCAGTCCATGGCCAGTATGGCAGGAGCGTGGCAGCACACCCAGGGCTGGAGCATGGCTGGCGGCGTGCTGTCCATGCGGGGCTGGGAGCAACTGACAGTTCTACATCTGATGGGCAGGCAGGAGGAAGACAGAGCACGAGGCCCATCTCGGGCTTCTGAAACCCCAAAGCCCACCCCAGTGACACACTTCCTCCAACAAGGTCACGACTCCTAATGGTGTGCTCCCCATGGCCTTATGGGGCGGCACTATAACTCAAAATACCGAGTACCCATTCTTAACTGACGTCTTCACTTTAAAGACCAAAGCTCTCAAGCTGACAATCTTCCAAGTCAGTGGAAAACAGTAACATCTGGACACAATGGGGCACATTGACAGGAGGCCACAGAAACAGCTTCCCTTTTTCGGTAGCTGTTTATTCAGAATGGAAATGCCTTCTCCAGCATGGACGCTCACAACTGAAGATTGCTCACACGCCTCAGAAACCCCCTCCCCCAAGTTTTCAAGCAAAATCAGGGTTTGGGGGACATTTTCCAATGGGAAGTCTTCTGAGGTGACACAGATGCCTTTTTGGGTCACAGACAACAATGACTCACTACGTCATTAGGTTAGGCTGGGACAGAAGGTTTCTTTGGTCTGTCCTTGGTGGCCTGTCTGAGACTGACAGACGTCTGCTCGTATCTTCCTGAGGAAATCACGTGCCTATGTCACAAATAACTGTTCAAATAGTGTCCTTGGGTAGCACCTTTAGGATATGGTTTTATAGAAATTTCCAGAGGCTAAGAGACTGCAAAAGCAGAAATGACATCAGTTAATACAAAAGAGATCTTGAAAGGGTTAAATTAGCAGAACTAACTCTGTGTTCTTTCTCAGACTCCATCCAAGGTTAGCTTGTCCCTGGAATACCTTGGTTCCCACCATTAAGATCTGATACCCGCCCCCCCCCACACACATAACCTTAAGTTCTGAGAAAAAAACCATAGAATGTTCTCAGCAGCTTGTAGCTAGACACGGCAACTGAGGCAGACCAATAAGGACAGGTCAGTTAAGAAAACATCAGTTGTTCCCAGGGTCGCAGTGCTCCTCTTGTCAAGCTGTTCCTTTCTGTGGTTTAGCCAGATGCTGTCAACAAACTAGGTCAAAGTGCATTTCACTCCTTTTCCATTTGTCCAGTCATGTAATGCCAAGGCTTGGAGGTCCCTGCTTGTGTTTTTTTCCTTTAAAAACCCTGTCCTCCCAGACCTCGGGGCTGCTCTCCCAACCTGCTGTGTCAGGAGGGATTGCGACCCAAGCTCAAGCTTGAATAAAGACCCTTGTGTGTTTTGCATTAGACTCTTGTTCCTTGTTGTCTCTTAAGGGTCTTGTGATCTAGGCATAACATTCGGGGGATGTCTACCACAGACCTCCAGGACCCCGACCCGGATGGTCTTGTGCTGGCTGGTAAGTGTCTCTGTGCAGGGTCTGTGTTTGTGTTTACTGTCAGTTCTGAAAAGCCTTGAGGTGTCTGTACAAGCTGTAATATGTGGCTAAAAATGGACATGTTGGATAGTCACAGCTGTGGGGGTTAAGGGAGATATCCCTGGCCCTGGGGTGGACAAGGAATCCCACCATCTGTGCTGCTTTCGGTTTCTGCAGCTGGAGTCTGTGAGTCTGAGTTTTGGGATTCACTTCTGTTTTCAGTCTTGGAGCAGCTACTTTGTTCGTGTCTGTCTTTCTGTTTTCTGCCTTGTGTTGGTGTGTCTTCGTATTGGACTGTGACAGACGCTATGGGATAGACTGCTTCTAACTCCCTAGACTTAATTTTTGTCCATTTCTGGGAAGCCCTGGTCTGGCAGGTCTCTGCCAGTGCGCTGGTCTCTGCCACTGCTCCGGTCTCTGCCACTGCTCCAATCTCTGGTGGCAAGGTCTTCCAGAGAGTCCAGTTGCTTGGGAATGCAGCCCGCCCACTGAGAGGCTTCTGTGCAGGCAGGTAGCTCTTAAAGGGGCAACAGCAGCTTCTCGGATAAGAAAGCGACACACCTCTATGGTCATAAGAACTGGATTCAACAGGAAGTGAGATATTCCTCCCATGAAATTACAGCTAAAAGAAGTAAAAATAAGTTTTGTCTGTCTGTTTTGAATATATAAGTTTACTATGTTTTGTATATCTTGGTTGCTTATTATTGGTTATTACGTATGTTAAAATTTTATATAATTTCTGTCCTGCCTTAAAAACCAGGTTTAAAAATAAGGCTTAAAACTGTTTATATGAGATATTAAAGCTGCACCTCCCTGTGTTTGTTCACAAGAACGTTTCTTGCTGGCAGCCAAGGTTTACAACATCCAAATCCTACACTTGGTGTTGATTTTAGAGGCGCTGATCTGCTTGTACTGATAGAATTTGGTTTTGGCTTCTAAAAACTATGGCTCTACTCTATCACTTCACTCTGGATATTCTAATACTGCAAAACAGATTTTGGAGGATATTTAAATGCTTAAGGTTATGAAACATTTTAAAGCTTATCAGGCATTTTAAAGTAACGGCCTTGGGCAGTCTAACAAAGAACTTAGAACAGTTTCTCAACCCTTTGGGAGAGGTCAAAAGACCTTGGTGTTTATTTTATTAATTTTATCAATTGAAACCAAGCCATACTGTTTGAGCCAATTAAAAAAAAAATGCAGATTTTGCAATGTATCATATCAAGATGGTAAAAACACATGGAATGACTTAGTAAAAAAATGATAAAAAGGATTTTGATGGAAATTTTTATGTTGTCTGAAAAGCAAGAGACAGGGATAATAAAAGAAAGAAAAGAAAAGAAAAGAAGAGAAAACAAATAAATAGCTTGTCTAAAGTAAAAATGTCTGGTTAAACCAGAAGAATGGAGCTAGGAAAGGCCTAACTGAAGGCATATAGAATGTTACGGAAGGTCAGAGTAAGTATAGAAAGCCATAGGGAATATGAACTGTATTTTCTTTGGTTTTTCATACCTGCAAATATGATTTGAGAAAGAACTGTAAAATATGTTCTTCATTTAAAAGGCTGGTGATTCTTCGATGCAAAATGTTTTCTTATGCTCTTTAAAGGGGGAAGAGGACTACAGCTCCATGTTAGCCCAGGGTTATATTCAAGTCATTGTTAACCATTGTATAAAATATATGCCTGGCTGCCAGTTCCTAAATAAATGATTTAATGTTGCTTCTTTCAGGCCTACAGATTTGGTATTGCCAGAATAGTCCATCTTTGCTGGGGGCTGCCAGCTGTG